TCTTTTGGGCTGGATGCTAAATTTTGTCGCTTCCTCCACACAGAAAAACTTCTTTTGAAACACGTTTTCAATGAGAAAACATGAATGTTTGCATGAAGTTTGGTGTCAAAACACAAAATTGTGTGTGTAGCAGAAATGTAAATAATATTGCGCATGTTGAACACGTTATTTTTCATACTTCAAATAGAAACACAAATACACAACCGCACATATATATATATATATATATAAGTTTTGTTGTTGCATAAGACCTACCAACCCAGGAGAAAACATGTGTGTGAACAAAAAAACACAAAACATGTAAACCTAATTGCCACAAAATGGCTATTGGCAGTCCCCCTAAAATGGCCAAACAGGCTGGCAGCCTTGTCATGGAGCTCACACACCTTTTCATAAGCAATTCTGGTGCCTGTGCTCTTTGGCACTGGGCATTGGTGGCCCCTTCTTCATGGTTAGTCAGCTGGCATGGTGTCCTCCTGGTTCGAGCCTGCTGGCATGGTGTCTTGCTGGGTTGGCGCTTCCATGGACTGCTCTGTGGCGCCACAGCCATGTCCAGCTGGTGCACTGTGGAGTAGATGCCCACCACTGGCTGGCTGGCTGGCTGTGGGCTCACATGCTTGGTGAGGTCCAATCCCACTGGTGGACCTGGCCTGTGGAATGCCAATGGCCTGTCCAATTGGTCAAGGTCGCCATCGCCATGGCTCCCTGCTTCATGGCACTCAGCCTGGCCCATTCTCCTTGGTGCCCTTGTGGCAAGTTGGTTTGGACTTGGGCAGCAAAGGGCTGCCAACATTCAATGCTTCTTGGTCTGTCCAAACCTGAAGTGGGTTGAAAGCAAAAATGTTGTGGGTTGAATACAAACAGCAGAGCATTTGCTGGCAAGATCAAGCATGACTTCCATGACCTTTGGCATGGGCATGTATAACCCCATTGGCAAACTATAGGTTGCCTTACCCCAAAAGAAACTGGCCAACAGTGGAAGTGCATTTGCTCTTCACTTCTTCTGGCAATTTTTGGCATCCTTCCATGCCTGCCACTGAGCCCTGTTGGCAAACCTCAGGCCTTCAAAGGTTGGCTCTCTACAATTGGCACAACGTTTTGGTGCTGCCCTACATCTCATACAACCAAATGGGCCCTTAGCTGGTGGTAGCCCACAATAGCCATGCGCTGGCCTGATGGTGGTGTGGCCTTGCTGATGGAAGGCTTCTGGATGACCTCCTTGGCATTTGGTCTTTTCATCACCTTGGCAGAAGCTTTGGAGACTGTCTTGGCTTTGGCCTTCTTCTCTGCCAACTGCTTGTAAACAACATTTTCAAAGGATGCCAAGTCATTGGCCAAGTTGTCCTGGAAACTGTCATCAAATTGAATAAATACAACATCAAAGTTCAGTGCCAAAGTTGGAAACATGCTTTGACACTAAACACAACAAAGTTCAACGTGTTGAGCCTGTCCTTGGCTGACTCCACAACAGGCAAGGTGTCATTCTGCTGGTTAACTGCTGGCTCTTGGGAAGGCAAAGCATCATTGGTCACAGGAGGCTTGGGCAGAGTCAGTGAGCCACACATGCACCTGGCAAAGCCTTGTTTTGGTTCTCCAAGCTGTTGGTCACCTCGTGCAGCAAATCTGGTCAACAGTTGGTCCAGTTTGCCAACAACTCCTTCCTCATTGGGTCCCTTGGTTGTGGTCTTGTGCAAGCTCTTGGCCACTTCCTGTTTGGTACTCCTTGTTGGTACCTAAAGCTGTTTGTGAGTGAAGCAACCAAAAAGACAGGACAACTAAACAACACAATGCTAAAGTTTAGGTGAGTTACGGTTTGCCTCGGCCACTCTGGGCTGTGGCTGGCTTGTCATCTTGGCCATAAGCAGCTTTCAGCCAGTCAGCGCCCAACACTGTTGGATTGGCTGGAAACTTGTGAGTGGTGACCCTAGAAGGAACAGATGGGGTAGAGTGGAAGACTTTGGCAAAGTCTTGGGTCATGGTCCTCAGGGCAATGCAACTTGGCATCTCATAGCCAGTTCCATGGTGCAAAGACACATGGATAAGGATGCCTATGGCCTGCTTCTTTGTGTCCTCTTTGAGCATTGCCAAGCCCACGGCCCTCAACCTTTTGTCTAGCACATGCAAAGATGCAAAATGGTTGCGCTGGTGCTATGATCCAATCAGCCTGTGTGTGGTAGGGACTCAAGCTTTCAATGGTGCTTCCATTGACCTTTTGGCTGCTGGTGTCACGCACCATCACCTGAGTCAAAGCAGATTGGATGTCCTTCTTCATGCCCATGGGCAAAGATATGGCTTCCAGCTTGGTCAATAGAGTGACTATACCCTCACTGGTCCATGTATTGCTCCCTTGCACTTTGGCACAGAACTGGGAGGACACAGCAGTCAATGTATTGACCATGTTTGGTAGCTTTGCCAAACTTTCTAAGTTGGCTAGTTCATCGGCAAAGTCAGCAGTGGACCATGACATTGCCATTGCAACAGCAGAAGACTCTGGATGCTTGCGCAAGGGGAAGCAATGGCTGCAAGGAAAGCAGAGTGACTTGAACAAAGCCTAGAATACAAAAGCTTACAAAAAGGAATGGCTAGATGTACAATACCAATATGGAATACCAGCAGGTGGTTAGACTTAGACTAGTTGCCACAAAATGGCTAGTATCATACTGAAAGCAACAAAATGGCTAGGACATATGGCCATGTGTTCAATGAATGCAATAGGTTGCGCAATCTTTTTCGCAACTCATGCTGGCAGTGCCATTGGTGAAACAACTGACTGCCATTTGGCAGTCACTCTTGTGGATCAGGCTCTGGGGGTTGGAGCCATACTTGGTCTGGCACTCATGCCGGCACGTGTGGATCTCTGGCATACCTGGCAAAGACAATGGACAGGTTTGGAATATAATTTTGGCGCATGTGGCTAAGCAAAACCTACATGGTGCTACATGGTGCTAAAATGTGAAAGAAAGCTGCCAGGTTGCCATGCCACCAAATTGGCAACTTTCTGGCTGGCTCCAGCTTGGAGCGTCCAACAGCTCCTTGGCCTTATATGCCCACCCTCCTTGGGCCACCTGGTGGTCTTGTGGTGGCTTGTGTGTCCACTGTTCCATGATGACATCACACTCCGCCTGCTGGTTAGTGGTGTGGGCCACCAGGAACCAGCACACCTTGGCTTTCCAGCCTGTTTGGTACTGTGGTTGGCCTGGATTGGAAGCCTTGGAGCTGGCACTCCTGCAGGAATAGCCTTTGTGTGGGCTGGTGCCTTATTTGATGGCAATGATGGCTGGGATGGCAATGATGGCTGGGATGGCTGGCTTTCTTCTGGTGGTGGTGGTGGCACGTCTGGCGGGGATTGCCTCCGTGGTGCTTCTGGTGGCTGTGTCCAGTCATACTCTGGACTGCTGCTCTGGGTGGCTCTTCTGGTTCTTCCACCTCTACATCTTCTGTTTCTGTTTCTGGCTCTGGGTTGGTAGAAGCATGTGGCTGCTCTGGTGGAACCATACACCCTCTTGGAACCTCATGGAGTGTCTCCTCACTATCTGAGTTCACCATGGCTAAGAGTCTAGGTTGGTGTGGCTGGTATGATTACTGTAAAGGTTTGTAAACATAAATCATTTGTTTGTATGTGAGTATTGCGTGTAGTGTGGTATTGATATATTATTTGGTTTTTGTCATATGTTGGAATTTATATAATGTATATGTAAAATATATGAATGAGATAATTATATAAATTGTTTCAAACTTGGACACCCATGCAATTGTAACAATGCTGCGGAAGCAAATGTCTGCACCATAGTAACAAGAAAGTGACTCTACAGACCAAGGTCTCCAACCTACATGCAATGACCTACATGGAAGCAATTGCATCCAACCCACAAAGCAAAGGCACCAAATAGACAAAAAACCGCCTCCAGCATACCTGTCAGTGTACGCAACCCAGTAGCAAAGACCATCTACCAGCAAAGGCCTCCAACCTAAAGACAAAAGCATCCAACCTATAGGCAAAAACCTATAGGTTTGATACTAAGGCCTCCAACCTGCAAGCAAAGGTCTTCAACCTACAAGCAAAAATATACAATCTACACGCAAATGAGTGAGACAAAAATTATAGACTAATAGTGATGGTATCCAACCTACAAGTAGTGATTTGAAACCTACAAGCAAAAGCTTTCAATTAAGTTTGTTTGATTTATATTTGTTAAATCAAATATATATTAATATCTATTTTTATTGTATATTTATTAGTAAATATTTTAAACATATATACTTTTCAATTTTACTAATCAGTTTTATATAAAATATACTAAAAATTTAGAATTCATATTTTGAATACAACAAACTAAAAAATAGGTAGATTCAGATTCTGAACTTAATTTCCAAAACTTTGGAGTTAAGTTCAGATTCTGAACCTAATTCCAAAAAAAGTTAGAATTAAGTTCAGAATCTGAACTTAACTCTAGGTTCAGAATCTGAACTTAACTCCAAAATTATTGAAATTAAGTTCAGAATCTGAACCTACCTATTTTATCAATTAGTTTTAGGTTCAGACCTAAACCATAAAAATGGCAATAATATTTGGTAATTTTTCATAGATAAATTTACAAAATTAGTATTTGAACAATAGAAAAAATGACTCAAATATAGATATATTTTATTTTTTGAAAAATAGATTCACTAAACAATTTGCGTAATTCAAATTATTTACAAACTATTTTTAGACCTAGTTTGATTCATTTCAACTAAATTGGATCTCATATAAACAGGTTCAATACTGCAATTGCTGTGTGTTTTCCAAGACCATGAACGCCCGCAACCATAGGGCCCTTGAGCGCGATGAAACGGACGCGCGACACGTTTGCGCCATGACTACTCGTAGAGCTTTGTGAACCAGGCTCCAACTACTTGGACATCCAAGACCCTCAACCCTTGTGAGCCAGGGATTTGATCACCTTGGATTGCATTGGTAGCGCGCCAGAAGATCATCGTGATCGCCTTCGGCCGCGCCTATGGCAACCTACTATGACTACGAGGAAGAGGACCTCGGCGACATGGAGGAGAACCTCACAGAGGAGGAGCTGCTAGAAGATGGAGACCCCGAGGTGGAAGATGACCCGCCTTTAGAAGACGAATCCGAAGAAGCTGGACAACTTCAGCCTACAACGTCGGCTTCGCCTTCGAGGACTCCACCCAGGCCTACTTCGTCGCCTTCGACACCACCTAGGAAGGGGCGCAATGGGCCGCGAGCTTCTACACCGCCTCCTTCGCCTACACCGCCTTCACCTTCGGATGCTGGCGACCATGGGTCTCAGGCAGGCAAAAGCGATAGTAGAGCTTCCAAGAAGGCTTCGTCTTCGAGCACCAGTGCACAGCGCAAGCCTCGTGGAAACCTTCCAACAGCGCCTAGCTTTGATGGCAACAGAGCCAAATACCCAAAGTGCTTCAAGAAGTACGCCAACCGCGTCGACTCCTATGTCGCCATTGCTGAGCAGATCATCGAGCACAGTGAGATCGGGCTTCGCCTCTATGCAGCTTTGGAGGGTGAAGCGGCCGACTTGCTGGAAGATGTTCCGGCCAAAAGCTTTGGTCATCTTAGTATTGCTCTTTGGAATTTTGGAATTTTTTTTGCTCTGTGGAAGGGTTGGTGCCATCTTCCTTGAGTGATACCATTCTAGGTGCAAAATCGAGAATTCAAAATAACTTATAAGCTTCCTACTCAAGGGTCTAAGAAAACAGCTGTGGCAAAGTCATTGTGCAAAGCGAGGCATACAACGCCAGCCAACTTCAAGGCATTTGACGGGACTTTGTGAGAATGTGACAATTGAAGGGCAACAGGGGAAATTTAATTTCCTGTGTCCAAAGAATAATTTTGCAGCACCCGCTCGACAAACAGGCAACCCCCACTCGAGAACACGTTTTCCAAAGTTTGTGTAGAACAGGAAGGCTGCAATAATCAGCCTGGTTGGAGGTTCCCATGCTTGGTTTGGAACCGCTGGCTGGAGCAATCTTCAATTCAATTCAAGAGAAAATATGGTGCGCAGTGCAAGCCAGACTCCCAAGCTTCCCGTTAGTTAGAAAACTTAGAAGTTAAAACTGTAATGTTTTTACAGGGTCTTTTTCCGGAAGACTGAAACATTTAAAGCATTCAATGCACCAATGTAAAGAAAGCCAGACACCCAAAATTGAAGAAGTCTTGATCGCGCTCTTTTTTCATTCTGCGCGAGCTCACTGCATGCATCCTGGCCGATGCAGCCAGAGATGCAACAAAAAGCTTTGCGCCCATGCCAGAGTGCATGTATCTTGGCCGACGCAGCCAAAGATCACGCCAGCGGGTTCCAAACCTCGTCGTTTTCCTCACCCTCTTCCATCTCCACTTCCTGGTCGTCATCATCGACCTCCCCAGCTGAGGCTTCGGTTGCTTCTGTCTTTTTTGTTTGTTTTTTGTGGGTGGCTCATCATCGCCGCCTACTGCAGGCTTCGGCTTGGCCCTAGGCTCAGGCTTCTTAGGTGGCTTTTCTGGCTTCGGTTTCGGCTTTGGCTTATTTGGTTGACCCTTGGCCTTGGATTTGGGTTCGGCTTTGGCTGCAGCAGTCACTTGCTCACCAACCGCAATATGCCCCCAGCCTGAAAAATTGTCCTTCTTGCACTTAGAGGACGACATTCTGTGGGCCCTGGCCGAATCAGCCAGAGGCCCACTTATTTTATCTTTCCTTGAGCAAAAAGCTGCGTCGGACGAGAATCGTGTATCTGAGCCTCCTACAGAGGTGACTAACAGACTACTCCTTACAAGCTTCAAGAACGTTCCCGAGGCTCGGTTGGAGCAGGATAAAAGCAGACTGTCCTAGAATTAGAAAACATGAATGGAATTTTTTCTAGCAGTCTGCTTTTTTCCTGCTCCTTAGGAGGTTCAAGAACGTTCCCGAGGCTCGGTTGGAGCAGGCTAAAAGACCTCTCCTTACAAGCCTGGCGCGCCATTTTTTCCCTTTCCCAAACTTCCTGTCTCAGCCGAAGCAGCCAATGACAGGCTCCTGGTCTGTCCTTGGCAGCTGGCCGAAGCTCCCAGTCAGCCTTGGCTTACTGCGCGTCCTCGGCAAGGACTTCAAGAGCAAAGTTAGGGAACCATTTGCTCACTCCACTCCAAGACAGTGTCAAAAAAGAACCTGGCATGTCTTCAAGCACTCGGACACACGCCAAAGCTGCCTTGAAATCATTCTTAGTGAATTGAGTCAACGGGTCTCTCAAATAGCTCGGCCCACGCGGAGGCAGGCCTGTGACGACGCGAAGCGTAGGGTATTGATGCGGACAAGTATATTTGATTGTGGTGCAAACATCCAGCACATGAACCAAACTTCCGTCTAGCAGGGCTGTTGCTGAATCAGGTAAATGCTGCCATGCCCACAGTAGCGCGTTCCTCAAGCACTCAGCTTCGTCCAGGGCATCGTCCTCCCCAAAGTGGAGGATCAGCAAACGGCGGGTATCTGCAGTAAAGCGACAAAAGGACTTCAACATTTCTGGATCAGGACCAGGGGGAGCCATTGCCATAGAAAGGGCCAGCTTTGGGCCATTTGCAGCAGCCAGCTTGAGAATCTTCAGGGTTCAGCAGAAACTCCTGCCCAACCGCGCCAATTTCAATGTGGCCTTCGCCTCCACATTGCTCATGGCAAAGGATTTGGCCGAAGCAGCCAATGACCTCTGCAGAAAAGCACCTCACCGAAGCAGCCAAAGTACTCAGCAACCCCCACTTGGGAAGGCAAACCCATTTAGAGCCACATGGCGGCGTCAAGATTTGGAAATAAAATTTTCCAAGGCCCAAATATCTTTTCTTCCCTTCCTCGAGAAAACAGTATTGAAAAATCGAGACAATATTCTAGGAGCGTCAATGAAGGTGAAAAGTTAAGGTTGACATGACTACAAGTTTAACTGCTAAGAAGGGACTGTCCTAGCTAGAGCTGAACCTAGTCATGATTTACACAATCAGACGCGACCCTACAAATCGAGAAGTCTAAATATCTTTTGAGGTGGTAGCAAAACCTTCAAACAGACAAACTTCAACCCCAATTGAAAAAGCAAAAAAAAATTCTAAAATTCCAAAGAGCAATACTAAGTCATGTCGACGGATGGCGAGTTTTGCTCCGAGTCTTGAAGGACAAGTTTGACGAGACTCGCATGGCGAACGTTGGTGGTGCTATGAAGAGCTTCTTCCAGCTGACCTTTGAGACTAAGGACAAGGGTTGGACTATGCGGGATGTGGTGGACTACATCGACAAGAGCGCCAGCTTACTCCTCAGAACCAACGGGGAGTATGATTGGAAGAAAATGAAGCAAGCGGTTGAGCTTTTGTACCCGACGGTGCATGTGCCTTCACCTTCGAGGACTTCTACGACCTCAAGTGGAGGCAAAGCTCAACATGGCCGCGGACGAACGGCGCACGAAGTTCAGCAGTGGTCCGATTGGTCAATGCCTGACTCGTCGGATCCCCAGTTGTTGGAATGGATGGAGTACTATGACCCTGTGGAGGCCATTGCAGAGAACTTCACCTCCGATTCCAATGACTATGCCATGGCTATCCCTGAGCCTCGTGCACGTGAACTCCATTCGTGCTTCAGCAGTCACCGTGAGAACAGGCAGAAGCTTGCTCAAGCAGTCCAAGCTCGTGGCTACTATGTCAATGGCAAGGGCGGCAAGGGCAAGAGCGGTGGCAAGGGCAAAAAGGGCGCCCCCAAGGGCAAAGGTCGTGGAGGAGGTGGCTCCAAAGGCAAGGCTCGAGGCATGACCTTAGAGGAGTTGAAAAAGACCACAACGTGCGCAGCATGTGGCCAGAAAGGCCATTGGAAGGGTGATGGTGAATGTCGACAGAGCAACATCACTGCCCACAACGACTTCGATGAGGAGCAGGAGGGCGATGAATGGTATGGAGAGTGGACCGAGTGGGACCCGGCTCAATGGGGTTGGGCTGAAGAGGAGACACGCGTTGCCAATGTCTCCGACCGCTCTCACAGCAAGTCTCGCCAACTTCGTTCCCGAGGCAGCGTCGATGATGAGGCCTTCGAAGCAGCGCGCAATGTGAGTCAGATCCGGAGCAAGGTGCAGAAGACTGGACGGTCGTCTTCATCGTCGAAGGTGACTTCCGGGGACTTCTTTGTCACCGGCCTGGAATACGCCAAGAACGTCCTCGAGGCCTCCAAGGAGCACGAGAGCTTTGTCAGTGCTGGTCCTGAAGCAGTTCGAGCAGCGCGCGAAGTTGTTCGACCAGGGCAAGACTTTGAGCAGGTTGGGTCCGTATGGCAGCTCTTGGCCAGTAAGCCGGATCAAGAAGTCGATGTTGACAGGCTCAGAGTCAGGCAGGGCTACATGGTGCGGAAGGTTGAGCTGGAGATTGCTGATGCAGACTCTGACATCGAGCTCCTTCCGGACCACAATCTGCCCAGGTTGACTTGCAGCATGCAGCGAAGGAGAGCAACAGTGGACCCTTCGCGATCATACCTCACCATAGACACCGCGTGTGAGAACACGGTTTGCGGTTCCAGCTACTTGCAGTTCCTCACGGACAAGCTGAAGGTCGACGGCCTCAAACCGCTTGTGGAGCCCGAGTTCGAGCAGTACTGCTTTGGCCCCGGGAAGCCTCAAGTTTCTCAGATGCGATGTTCGCTTCCCATCGGCATCGCTGGCTATGCAGCAGTCATTCGCACATCGGTCATCCATGAAGAGCAGCTGCAAGGAGGGAAGGGTCCCAACCTGGCGGGACAGGATTGGCTGAGGATGATGCAGGCGATCATCAACCTGGGAGAGAGCACGATTCTTTTTTTCAGTTCTTGGCTCACATGGAGCTAAGGTTCCCATCGAGATCGATGGATCGGGCCACCTTGTGATCGCAATCGACGATTACCCCAAGGGCGGCTGGCCTCCAGGGCTCACCACCATTTTGGATGAGTACCCCGGCGGCGTCTTCACGGCAACCCGCCAGACTGGCGATGACGCCATCGACCCTGTACAGACAGATGGCAAAAAGAGCATGTGTGCTGTTGCGGCTTCCACTTCCTTGAACTTCATCCCCAACTTCATCTATGAGCCCAATCACGACAACATGAACAACTGTTTTTTGAAGGGACCTTGCAGCGTTCATTCCGACTATTGGGAATATGATGTGCAGCGTGGTGTTGTTCTTCGGTACCATCGCAGGCCCCGAGATCATCTTTTTCATCCCCTCGAAGTTGGAGATGGTCCAGATCCCAAGAGCTTGCAAGGGTACCGGGTCACAATTCGTTCACAGGGGGAGACCAACCACGTTTAGATGATTGGACATTTTCAACCCCTGAGACTTCAAAGACATCATCATGGACGGGTTTGACATGTTTCTTTTTGAAGGGAGCTTCTTGTACCACTTCTTTGCCTTCACCCCCTTCGTTTGGAGTTGATGTGGTTTTTGAAGACATGTCGAAAGGCAAGGTTGCACCTGAGAGCCTTGCACCCATCCGTGATGACAAGAAGATAAATTTGATTTGCAGTCGAGCAACCCCATGTTTGAGCATGCATCGACACGCCAGAAGACTTTTTCGATTCCTGAAGGGCAATTCGGTTCAAGACATCGACATCTTCAAGATGCACAGAGCCCCTCGTCGTTCCAAGCACCGACCAGCTCCACTCCTGCAATGGTGTCGACTGGTCAACGAGTTGGTCTTCATGCTAAAGACCGCTCAGGCGTGGGTCACTTCGAACTTGGCCATCCGCGAGCTCAAGCACCGAGCTCCAGCTCTGATGGGCTATGCGGAGGCGATGGTGGAGAGCGAGATTGCCGAGCTGCAGGTGCAGAACCTCCCGGCGACTTTGCCACCTTCGACGACAGCGGCACGGGGTCAGACCCACAGAGTGATCCAAAAGAGCTACCCCGTGGATCCCAAGAGGTGCGCTCACGAAGTCGAGCACGCCAGGAGGATCGGCAATGCACACGGACGCTTCCTGGAGTGCGTGGCATGCGGAACCGTGAAGAAGGCCTTGACGGACTTCTACCAGATGCCGATCACGGGCGAGGAGGTGGTCGTCTATCCGATCCACCACGGCATTCGCGATCGACCAGGAGGCAAGGTGAGTCCAGCAACCCGAGATCCACCGGCTTCTTCACAAAGTTGGGCCAAGTGCTATTCGCGCTTGCCACCGCCAGCTTCGGCTTCAGCGGGACCCCGCAAGACATCAGGCCGCATGAACTCGGGGTACAGTTCGAAGAATCCCCGGGACACGGTGGACCTGACCGGTACAGACTCGGAGACTTGGGAGACCGTGGGCATGGACGCGGAGAGCGACAGTGGCTTGTAGAGGACTTCGACGTCGACTATATGACACCAAGCCTACGTGGCTCCGCTCCGGACTGCAGAAGCGGCTCAAACATCATGCACGACGAGCTCTACAGATGAGCAAGCGCTCCAAGGACATTGTCGCGAATAAGGTCGCCAACTCCAGATGGCCTAAGCGCGCCTTCAACTATGACATTGTGGAGATCTTTGGTGGCAGCTCCATGATCAGCATCCGTGGATCACTCCACTGGGGACTTCGAGTCTTGCAGCCTATCGACGTCAGAGTCGGCATCGACCTGCGAGCTCGCAAGATGAGAAGATGGACCGCTGGAATCCTCGACTCGCCATCGTTGAGTACCCCTGCACTCCATGGAGCATCCTCCAGAGGAATGTCAACTTCCGCGACAACCCTGAAGCACTACGACGCCTTCAACAAGCAGATAAGCCCTTTCTACGCCTCACCAAGGACATTTTCGACAGCCAGACTCGACGAGGAGCCCATGCTTTGTCAGAAAACCCTGCTACAGCTGATAGCCAACGGGAACCAGAGATCGTCGAGCTCCGGAACAAGCACTTCGAGACGACTAGTTGCATGTGCCGGTTTGGTATGGTTGGGCGGAAAGGCTTGCCAATGTTGAAAAGGGTGCGGTGGATCATACTTGGACGTCATTGAGGAGGAGGACTTTGGACTACATCATACGTGGGATGTCTCTCACCATCCTCGAGGAGTTCACTACATCGACGTGGACAAGGACGTGACTAAGTGGCGTGAGCCTATGGACATGTCTGCTGAGATCCTCGCCAGGAAGGCGCAAGAGGACCTCTTCATTGACCCCAACACCGAGCTCTACAAGAAGGTCTCTGCATTGGTGCCATGGCAGATTGCGAACATCCAGATCTCGCACTTGCCTAAGGCGAAGAGGATTCGCCCTGGCTTGGAGAAGTGTCATCGTTGCTCGGTGCTTCTTCAGCACGATGAGACCATCATCATAGAGACCGAACATCTCCCAGATGCTCAAGCACCTCGAGAGAGATTTGTTACACCAGTGAGGTATGCCATCTTCATCTTGGCTATGCTCCTCGTGACCCCAAAGAACCGTCCCCAGCACAGCCTCTACCTCTTCAACCTGTTCCCCATGATGGAGAAGTTGTGGTGGACCACTTGCAGAGTAATGGAGGACCAGAGACTGGCGCGACAGGACTATGGTGCTGGTGAATGTTGGTTTCAAGGACCTCCACTTCGCACTGAGCAGAAGAAGCTGGCACCAAGCATTGTGAGGCTGCACCGCAACTTGGGTCATCCGCGTCAGGAGGACATGGTCCGAGCTTTGGTGCAACATGGCCAGATGGACCCAGAGTGCATAACACTGGCCAAACGCCTCAAGTGCGCAACTTGTGAGCGCACACGTCGTCCTTTGCCACCTAGGCCTACGAGTCTTCGGGCCACAGGCAGTTTCAATGACAAGCTGTGTTTGGATTACATCTTCATCCACGATAGCCAAGGCGAGAAGCACAACTACCTGCACATCCTCAAGCCCAATGGCGGCTACAACCTCTTCATCCACATGCCTTCCAGATCCCCAGATGACGTCTGGAGAGTTTTTCAAGATGCTTGGGCCTCTTGGGCAGGATTTCCGAGAAGAGTTTGGATAGATCAGGATGGTGCTTTTGAAGGTGTTTTCCATGAGTCCATCTCCAAGTTTTCCCAGGTGGACACTAGCGCAGCAGAAGCGCATTGGCAGACAGGTGAGATTGAAGCCTTCAACCGAGCCTTCAGGTATGCGGCTGAGCGCATCATTGATGAGCGCCAGCTGGCCGGCCCGGAGGATATGAAGAATTTGGGCATCATCACCTCCGCCCCCATGAATGACAAGATCCGCGCATGTGGGGCTTCTGCCAACCAGTGGCTTTTTGGATGCAGTCCAAGGTCGTGAACCTGACCATGAGCTTCGTCAGAGGCAGCTCATTCGAGCACAAGCTGACATGCGCATCTCCCAGTACCGTGTTGACCATGCACTTCGCACAGCCATCCACCGGAAAGGCAGACCTGGACGTTTGACCTATGAGCCAGGCGAGCTGGTGGCTTACTGGAGAAATGTCAAGAAAAAGAAGGGCAAGATTTTGCAGCCCGGCTGGTTCCGTGGCACAATCGTTGGGCCACATCGTGGAACGGAAGAAGGAGGCCAGAACAACTATTGGGTGACCTCCAACGGCAAGTTGATACTGGTCTCCAAAGAGCAACTTCGCCCTACATATGGAACTGAACGTTGGCGCATTGACGAGCCAGAGCTTCAGGAGTTCCTCGACAAGGACCACGACACTTTCGAGGACCAGATCGGTGATGGACCTCCTGATGACGCCTTCATCGAGGACGTTAATGAGACCGAGATGGTGGTCCCCTACAACGACGACCTCGAGTACACGCCATCAGTTCATCCTGGAGCGGAAGCAGAACAAGATGTACCGCCTCCAGAACCAGGCGAAGAAGCTGTACCGGCTTCGAGTGCGGCGCCTTCGTTGGGCACAGATGTGACCACTCCACACGCTAACTCTCACCTTCGGCAAGATCCGAGAGCTCCTGGGACTCCAGTGACCGGCCTTTTTCCTCCGCCCGCACGAACTTGGGGGAAGAACACCGCCGGCTTCCGAGATGTCAGAGCACAGTGCAAAACGACTGAAAGTCGGCGACCAAGATGAAGGGCAACCGCATGGATTTGAAGTGGACCCTCAACTTTTTGATGAAGCTCCACGCGCAGCTCTCCTCACAAGCCGCTTTGTGCCAGAGCAGGAGCATGAGAAGTTTGCGATTGTTCCTTTTTTGGTGCTCCTCACCCGGAAGCAGCAGAAAGCGCTAGAGAAAGAGCTCCCTTGGACTATGATACCGGTTGATGAGAGACCCATGTACCATGACGCCTTGGTCAAGGAGTGGGGAACTTGGTGCAAGTACCAAGCGGTGATGGTTCTCGATCTGGTGGCCTCTGCATATGTCTTGGCTAATGTGGACCCCAAGCGCATCCTCGACACGCGCGTGCTCTACAAGAACAAGAACGCGGCATACAACTGGATGCCTGTGAAACCGAAAGCTCGCATTGTTTGCCGAGGAGATCGAGATCCAGACTTGTTGACCTTGAGGAGAGATGCTCCCACACTTACGCGGTTGGGCCTCATGCTGATTTGTCAGTTGGCCACTTCCATGGACGGTTGGTTCATGATGAACTGCGACATAACCGGAGCTTTCCTTCAAGGAGATCAAGGATTGGCAGCTCGCAAGGAACCGCTCTTTTTGAAGCAGCCCCGTGAAGGACTACCAGGACTTCACCCTCAGCAGATTCTTTTGGTTGTCAGAGGGATCTTCGGCCTGGCGAACTCCCCGAGACTTTTTTGGAGGCATCTGAGAGACACCTTACTTCAGATGGGTTTTCGCCAGAGCAGCTTGGACAAAGCCTTGTTCTTGTACTACAAGGACCATAAGCTCATCCTCGCCATCGGCGCGCGCGTCGACGACCTCATCGGCACGGGCGAACCTGGCTCCGCCGACGAGATCCTCAAGCTTCGCGAGACCTTCGACTTCGGCGCCTGGGCAGATGACAGGACCGACAAAGTCCTTGAGTATGGCGGCAAGCAGATCACTCGCACCGCCAATGGTGAAGTCAAGCTCACGCAAGAGAAGTTCATTCAGGCCACCTCGATCACTCCGATCCCAAAGTGGCGAACAGCGACTCCAAACGCTGAGCTGAGCGGCACAGAGCTGACAGAGCTACGCTCTGCTGGTGGGTGTCTGCATTGGCTCGTTGGCCAGACCAGGCCAGACTTGGCCGCAGGAACCTCGCCCTACATGTCCGGCACCCCGACTGTGGACTCGCTGATGAACTTGAACAAGCTCCTCAAGGAAGCCAAATCCTCAGAGACCTGGGGATTGACCTTCAAGAAGATTGACCTTGACAAAGCCCGCATCCTGACCTTTACGGACAGCTCCTGGGCTAATGCTTCTGAGCTCAAGTCGCAAGCCGGCTACTGTGTGTTCCTTGCTGATGAAAAGGCCATGACGCCGGAAGGTGGATCTGCAAGTCTACTTGACTGGCGCAGCCATAGAATCAAACGCCAGTGCCGCAGCACTTTAGCGGCTGAGACGATGGCCATGGACGCTGGCGTTGACTCCGGCATCTTTTGCAGAGAGCTCTTGGCTGAGATGTTGGTGGAGGACTATGAGCCCACTACATCCGGGAGATTGCCACCAAGCTTCATGCCTATGCATGCAGTGACCGACTGCCGCAGCTTGTTTGACCTGTTGGTCAAAGACGGACCGCCAGCTACAACACAAGAGAAAAGGCTGGTGATAGACATCAATGGCCCCAAGGAGGCAGCCTTAGAATTCGACCCGGCTGGCGAACACCTCAAGGACACCTTTCGATGGGTGGCGACTGAGAGTCAGGTAGCGGATCACCTGACAAAGGTGAAACCTTCACGTCTTTTGAGGCATTTCCTCGACGCAGGATGGCTTCGCATCCAGAGGATCGAAAGCCCTGAGCCAGCAGTGCATTCTCACTATAAAAGACTTTGGGGAGTGCAATTGCTGTGTGTTTTCCAAGACCATGAACGCCCGCAACCATAGGGCCCTTGAGCGCGATGAAACGGACGCGCGCCATGACTACTGGTAGAGCTTTGTGAACCAGGCTCCAACTACTTGGACATCCAAGACCCTCAACCCTTGTGAACCAGGGGTTTGATCACCTTGGATTGCAAATACTACCCAGTCATAGCCTCTACCCTATTAATACCTAAAGTTCACCTAATATACATACAATTCACTGGCCATGGCCATGGCCTCCAACCTAATAGTCCTGGCCTCCAACCTGATCGCAAAGGCCCGCGACCCAATAGCAAAGGCATGCAACCTATGGCCATGGCCTCCAACCTAATGGCCATGGCCTCCAACCTAAAGCCATGGCCTCCAGCCTGATAGCCATGGTCTCCAACCAAATAGTCATGGCCTCCAACCTGATAGCCATCTTCCAACCTAATAGCAAAGGCCTACAACCTAATGGCAATGGCCTCCAACCTAACACCAACCTAATAGCCATGGCCTCCAACCTAATAGCCATGGCCTCCAACCTAATATCATGGCCTCCAGCCTGATAGCCATGGCCTCCAACTTCATAGTCATGGCCTCCAACCTGATAGCCATGGCCTCCAACCCTATAGCCACGACCTTCAACCTAATAGCCATGGCCTCCAACCTCCAAGCAATAGCCTCCAACCTACAAGCAATACCTAACAGCAATGGCCTCCAACCTAATGGCAAAGGCCTAGAACCTAGTAGCCATGGCCTCCAACCTAATAGCCATGGCCTTCAACCTAATAGCCATAGCCTCCAACCTAATAGGCATAGCCTCCAGCCTGATCGCCATGGTCTCCAACCTAATACTCATGGTCTCCAACCTCATAGCCATGGCCTCCAACCTAACAGCAAAGGCCTACAACCTAATAGCCATGCTCCAACCTAATAGCCATGGCCTCCAACCTAGTAGCTATAGCCTCCAACCTAATAGCCATGACCTCCAGCTTGATAGCCATGGCCTCCAACCTGTTTCAGGCCTTTGCTTGTAGGTGGGAGGCCTTTGCTTGTAGGTTGGAGGCCATTGCTATCAGGTTGGAGGCCTTTGCTTTTAGGTTGGAGGCCTTTCTTATTAGGTTTGATACTTGTGCTTCTGATTAGGTTGGGGACCTTTGCTTGTCGGTTGGAGGCCTTTGCTTGTAGGTTGGAGGCCTTTGCTTGCAGGTTGGAGGCCTTTGCTTGTAGTTTGGAGGCCTTTGCTTGTCGGTTGGAGGAAATTGCTATTAGGTTTGACGCCTTGCCTGTAGGTTAAAAGGCTTTTTGCTATTAGGTTGGAGGCCTTTGCTATTCTTTGCTTGTAGGTTGGATTCCATTGCTTGTAGGTTGGAGGCCTTTGCTTGCAGATTGGAGGCCTTTGCTTGTAGGTTGGAGGCCATTGCTTGTAGGTTTGAGGCCATTGCTTGTAGGTTGGAGGCCATTGCTATTAGGTTGGAGGCCTTGTTTGAGTCCTTTGCTTGTAGGTTGGAGGCCTTTGCTTGTAGGTTGGAGGCCTTTGCTTGTAGGTTGGAGGCCTTTGCTTGTCGGTTTGATGCCTTTGCTTGTCGGTTTGAAGCCTTTGCTTGTAGGTTGGTGGCCTTTGCTTGTAGGTTGGAGGCCTTTGCTTGTAGGTTGAAGGCCTTTGCTTGTAAGTTGGATGCCTTTGCTTGTGG